AATGCAATATGGGTATCATTTTCGAGGTACTTGGGGGTGCTCATTACAAATGTGGCACTCATTTCTAAATCCAAGATGGTGGGCACGATTTTTTCAAAAAAATGCTATGTGGGTATCATTTTCGAGGTATTTGGGGATGCTCAATGTGAATATGGCACTATTTGTAAATCCAAGATGGCGGGCACGATTTTTCAAATAATGGCAAGTTGGGTATCGTTTTCGAGGTATTTGGGGGCGCTCATTACGAGTATTGCTTTTGTTTGAACTGTCGTGTTTGCCATCTTGGATTTAGAAATGAGTGCCATATTTGTATTGAACATTCCCAAACATCTCGAAAACGATACCCAACTTGCCATTATTCGAAAAATCGCGCCCGCCATCTTGGATTTAGAAATAAGTGCCATATTCGAAACCTAAAACCGAAAATGCCATAAGCAAACATTAAAGAAAATAACTGTTAAAATAGATTAAAAAATCGCTTAAGAATGCTCCCCTTTTAAGAAAATAAAATATTTCAATATCAAATATTTCGCTTGAGTTACGAAAAGAAAGACATATAATAAGCTATCAAAGTTGTACTGGTGGTGCCAACACTATAGTAGAAATGAATATATACTGTAAATTTGTTGCAATATGTGCTGCAATTCAAATAAAATTAAAATAAATAATTATTCAATAAAGCATGAACGCAGAGCCGTTAAAAGTATTATAAAATAATTAAGTGTCCCAATCACTTACAGGAGTTAACGAAAACATTTAATGTTTATTCAAGTAAATATTAGTTCAAGATGCGCAAATAAATCGAAATTACAGGCACCACTAAAATTTACGTAATATAATTATTTTGATACAGAATAGCAAAATGGGGAGAAAAAAAATTCGTTACTTTGCAACACTTTCGTATCTTGTTGCCGCGAAATTATTTTTCTGTTTTAGTGAATAATTACATAAAAATATGAGTTGAAACGCATTACTTACTTGTGGAATGTGATGTTAGTGTCTATTTTATGTTTGTCTGTTCTATTTTTACACCCATTTACCGCACATTTCGTCATTTTTAGCAAAAAATTTTGGAGCTGTTCGCGGTGCAATTTGACCTTGAGCACTAACAGTCCGCGCGCTCCTGGGAGCCCGTGTGGAAGCCTTTAACTTGCCTCACTTAGCGTGTGCGGGCTAGGTTTCTATGCGTTATTCTAAGATATAGACACTGAAAAAGTATTTGAGTGGGATTGGAACATGTCTAGACTAGAACTAGAAGTTATAAATATGTTAAGATGTTTCAAAGTACCCTTTGAAACGAGATTTTTTTTTTTAAAGTTTATAGTCCGGTTGCAAAGCCGAAAGGGCCCAGTCCTATTTTAGTTGACGTTCTTGATTTAAGATTTTTGACGAGGTTATTAAAGTATTGAGAGCGGGTTTGCAGCACAGAACACTATTACTCACAAGGAGAAACCGGCACTGTACAAAAAAGTAAGGGGGCCAATAGACAGCGTGAATATACAAGGCGGGAATTTGAAATAAATTCGAAATCACCAAGCGCGGGATTTTCAAATTATAATAGCTAGCTAAAAGACCTAAGATCAATTAGGAAAACGGACATACACTATATTAAAATACGTAATAGTGTATGTACATTTCCCTATTTGATGTTCATTTTAATGTTTTTAAAATAGGAACAGAGTAAATAACGATCAAATCGGTATCTCCAAAAAACACTATGCTACTAACTTAATTTTTGGACCTATTTTGTTTTTAGTTTCTTTTTTTCACTAAATTCCTTTTTTTTTCTTTTTCTACAAGATTCGGGAAGCATAATATTAGTAAATAAATATGGCCGGTTACAAAAATAACAGAAAATGACCAATAAATAAAATTGGCGTAGAGTTAATTGGAGGTATCGGAATATAGAAAAGAGCGCAAAAAACAAAAACACACTTTTTTACGAAAAGTTTTTTTATTAAAATTATCAAACCTACTAAATCAGCTATTTAAACTTATACAAGTGATAATAATACAGATTTATTGTGTCGAGGAAATCGGCAAGCCAGAAAAATCAGACAGCACGACTTTAAAGTGACATGGCAAAAAATTTACTAACTTTCAATTGATCCATTGAGTAAAAACTAATATTATGAATTAGATAATGGGTACGTTTCCTTGATGGCAATAACTGTAATATTCGAAGGCAATTAAATACAAATCTGCGAATTACAATATTTACAGAGGAGCATAAGTGTGTTTTGATATTTAACTATTTACATAGAAAAGATACGTTACTGAAATTAGGAATAAAAGCACTTTCATTTATCAATTTAATATTTTTTTATTTATTCAAAAATCGAACACTAAGGGCGCGTTCCCACTATGTCGTCACAGTGGGAACAGCCAGAACAACAGTCGTCAGACGATAAAAAAACGTCACGATAAAAAAGTGACGACAGATTGTCGCAGCTCCTATTGTCGTCACGATCTAGTGGGAACAGCGTCACGACGTTCGTTCAACGATAAAAAATCGTCCACGACAGATTGTCGTGATATGGGAACAGGCTAGACACGACAGTCGATAATAAATCGTGACGACATAGTGGGAACACCCTAACAAAAAATTCCTTAGATCCGGTTGGATTTAAAACAGCGTCTTACGAATCTTACGAACAACCAACGGATGTAACGAATTTTTCTATGTGCTTTTTGCAGACCTTTGTTTTATGTTTTACTGACTTTATTGTCGCAGCGCCATCTATGAGAAATCTATTTCTTCACTCAGCCAGGTACCTTTGCAGCTACCAACGACTGACTAGAGATGTCGCTTTGATAGTTGTAAATTATTTTTGTGAAATTACTCCACTACATCTTTGTATTAATAATTGCAACAACTTGTGGAGTAATTTTACAAAAATAATTGGATATCGTGCTTTATTAGTATAAACTTAACTAAATTCATATGTTTCTGCATATTTATTTCTCGTGGATTGTCTATTCATACGTCTTTGGCTACGGGTCTGCTCTCGTGCTCCGTCAGACGTTCGACAGAAACAATTACTGTCAAATAAGTAATACACGACCTAATCGACCCCTCCTACGTAAATGCCAAGTTTACAGGGTTCCAGAATGAGTTTTAATGTAACGAGTTATGCCGAATAAAACTGAGAAATGTTGAAGTCACGTGTTATGCTCTTTTCAGTGAATTCAAAACTTTATAACGCTCCCCTGTAAACTTGGCAATTTCGACATATGATACTTTATGTAGGAGTGGTTAAATTAAATACAATGTCAAGTATAAAGCTTCATTCGAATCACGCGTCTTTTAATGAGGTCGAGTACTTTCGACAGTAATTGTTACATAAAGTTTCGAGCGGGTCCTGTTGAAATCGTCTTTCTGCGCGACTTTTCACATCTTGTTCTTTTCCGTTAAGTTTTCTATCGCTTGCGGCGCTCTATTACTCCCGTTAATTTTAAGCTACTAAAAAGTCCTTTTACTTTTCGAAAGTGCTAAAGTTCTAGGCGTTATTTTTTAACCGACTTCAAAGGAGGAGGTTCTCAATTCGACTGTATGTTTTTTTTGTATGTATGTTACGCGATAACTGCGGTATTTGTGAACTCATTTTGATGATTCTTTTTTTGTTGGAAAGAGAAGAAAATCATCCACCTCTAAGGGCCGTATTCCAGGACACTACTCAATGCTTAAGTCAGGATTTGAGCAGACTTGAGTATGATTTCAAGCACTGGAAATACGACCCTAACGGCAGGGACTTGAGTATGATATCAAGTGCTTTAAACTAAAGTGTTGCCAGTGCAATCCTGACTTGAGTATTGAATAGAGTTCTAGAATACGACCCTAAGAGTCGTATTCTAGAACTCTACTTAATGCTCAAGTTAGGATTTGAGTGTGGCTTAAAGCACTCGAAATCATACTCAAGTCCCTGACATTAGGGTCGTATTTCCAGTGCTTGTGTTTCAATTGCAATCCTGACTTGAGCATTGAGTAGAGTTCTAGAATACGACCCTAAGGATGGCTGTTCACGCATGAAGACTAATTTTTATA